CATTCAGGTTACCAGACTCTCACTGAACTGTTCCTCAGCCCCAGAAGCAAAGCAATACTGCAGAACTTCTCACTTCTCAAACATTTTTCCCTATGGCAGCTGGCAAATCCTTTCCTGCGCTTCTCATCCAACTTGGACAAAATTACTGCAGAGAATCCCTCCTGCTCCCCTCCCCCCCATGCAATGTAATCCCAAGGGAGAAATGGTTTCATGGGGACCCCCTGCTGTCTTGCATCTGATTTCCCTCCTAAGTATGGTATGGGGAAGCGTCTCAAGGGCTATGGCTGTGACCTCCATACAGCTCTTTTGTCAAGTGCCATTTCATTAAAAAATCAGCCTTTTAACTGTGGACACATTTCAACCTCACCAAATCTGCTAATTATTGACAGTTGGTGAAGAGGAGATTTCACTTGTTCCTCCTGTTAAACTGCATCTAATTAGTAATTACTGGTTCACTGTCATCTTTACTGCAATAATCCCACTGCACATTGGCTCATTAACCTTTTGCTTTTCTAAAGCAGCCTGCCAACAAGATGAAGGCTAAAACAGATTGGAAAACAATAGCTCAGCCTTGGATTTTAGGCTGTTTATTCCCCTTGTCCTGGAGATCCAAAGGGAAGATTATTTTTAAGAAAAGGCTTTCAGCTGAAATCAACCTAATTCCAAAACATGGTTAGGATTGCCCTAACCAGCACCCAACAGCCTTGAAACTTCACCCATGGTGAGGGCATGAGGATTTCAGGTAGTGGAAGGGTTTCTCTGCCACTAGCTCATGCTTCAGCTCCAGTTCTCACCTGGCTCTATCCTTCTTTAACAGCGTGATCCCACTAGGCATGGGATGAGGCAAGTTCCAGTGGGTTGTGGCAGTGGAAAGTTCAACAGCACCCTCAGGGATGCTGAGAAATGAATGATCTGGATGAGCAGGGACCAAAGGGTGGAAAATCAGTAGAGCAACTCCATGGTTCTTTCTTTTGCTGCTACACTGCATTTCATTTGCACAAGTCCCATTTTCAGTTTGGAACTGTCACAGCTGTTTCTATTGGCAGTGCATAGCTGAGTAGGAGTTGTCAGTGGGGATGCTGTAGGATAGGCAGTTAGAAAAGAGATTCCCCGGGGGGCATGGGAGGCAGTTGGAGGTTGTGGGCTAAATGCATTAACTAGATGTTTCTCCTAAACTTAACAGCAGTGAATTACTCAATGCATATTGATGCATTTAGGTATCGGAGTTAACACTATATTGGGATGAAAAGTGTTTCTCAGCATCTCAAATGTGAGTATTCCCAAAGATACACATCTTTATGGCTGATACTAGGGTTTTATTTTTATCAGGTGATCTTTAAAGCCATATTATCTAGAAACAAGCTGTCATCCTGCAGCACTATTGCAGAAACCTAAGTGGAATTTCATCTGTACAAAACCAAGGAAGGTATAAGGTCTTAGCTAGACTAAATATTGATCAAGAGAAGATCTGGATGACTTAACCTTCCCACCACATGAAAGTTGTTCACCTCCAGAATTTTCATTTACCTGATGTTGGTATATGCAACCAGAGCCAAACTCTGATTTCTCTTACACTGTTTTATCACAGGAATAACTCCAGAGCTGCTACAGCTGATGTGATAAGGTGGATGCATTTATTTAGGACATTTATTAAATCTATTAGAAGGTTTCAATTCTGTTTGAAAACCAATTGTAAGTTTGAGCCCCTGTAGAAGACTAAAGGTGGCCAGTAAAGCTTCTGTGCTTAAACAAGCTCTTAATAACACATCAGCTTCTGTGTTTACTCTCTGACTCAAGAAAAAGGATTGTGAATGTGTGATTAAGGGAGAACTTGGCTCATTTGTGATTCCTGAAAGGGTTGCTGCTCAGACCATAATCATATTTTTGGAGCAAAACACTCCTATTCCATGTTGTTGTTAACAATTTGCTCCCTAGGTAGTGCTCATTACAACAACGACTCAGTCATGCTGTATTCATGGTTGTGTTCATGGCTGTTCACCCACTGAGCTCATGGGAAGAGGAAACACGCATGTGCAGACGTATTTACACCTCCACAGACATATGGAGATCAATGTCCAAACACTCCAAGTCCATTAAATTCCTTATCTGACAAATAAGAATCATGGAATCATTAAGGTTGGAAAAGAGCTCTAAGATCATCAAATCTAACCATTACAGTTCATGGATGAGTGATGAGTGTCCAAGAAGTCACATGTTCTGAGAACTGTTCTCTGCAAGGAGACTTGGATTTTGCATCCTAACTGTGAAGAAATGGCTCTGGAAGATTGTTTTGGGTAAATCACTTGCTCTGCTCACTTGAACATTCCCACAGACACCATCAAAGAGATTTTGGAGAATGGGATGAACATCCTTTACACAGACACTCACACACATTTAAAACAAATGCAAACATAATGGGAACACAGGCTGAGAGAGTTGGGATTGTTCAGCCCAGAGAAGACAAGGCTCTGGGGAGATCTTAGAGTCCCTTCCAGTGCCTAAAGGGGCTCCAAGAGACCTGGAAAGGGACTTTGGACAAGGGCCTGTAGTGAAAGGACAAGGAGGAATGGCTTCTCACTGCTGGAGGGTAGAGTTAGATGGGATATTGGGAAGAAATTCCCACCTGTGAGGATAGTGAGGCACTGGCACAAGCTGCCCATAATAGCTGCGGCTGCCCCATCCTTGGAAGTGTTCCAGGCCAGGCTGGATGGGGCTTGGAGCCACCTGGTCTAGTGGAAGGTGTCCCTGCCCATGGCAGGGAGTTGGAACAAGATGGTCTTTATGTCCTCTTCCAACCCAAATCAATCTATGATTCTACAACTGATCAGCTCAGGCTGCTATGGATAACCTGATTCCTTGGCACCAACAGATGTGAAGTCCAGCTGTGCATGTGGAGCTAACTGCAGTGGAGCAGAGCCGAAATCCCAGTAGGTACTGAGCTAAACCATCAGCTGTAGTGGCTTCTTTTCATTGACATGAAGCGTGGGCAGAGAGCACGTCATTCTGTTTGATCTTCTAATCAGCGCTGATTCATGTTTACACTGCAGATAACATTTCATCTGCTCTCAGAAGGTCATTTTCAAGCAATGCTGTAGGGTTTCAGTAGTGCTTGATGCCTGCAATTTGAATATCCTTCGAAGCAAGCCAGACTTTAATTTTCCTTGTGGGCTAGAATTCATTCAGCTCTTAAAATCAACACATTTTTTTCCTGCTGTAATATCAGATACAATTCAGGCTATATTATCTGTCACCCATAAAGCTAAAATTCTAGTGGAAGGTGTCCCTGCCCAGGGCAGGGATGATGTTTAAGGTCCTTCCAACCCAAACCACTCTATGATTCTACGATTTTGCAGGAATGGTGGCACTATCATCTTTGGGGTATATGAGGTTGGTGGTACCTCCTTTGGACTTGTGTCCCTGATTCTCTTGAAAGGAGATCTCTCAGGAAAGGCCATGACTACCTTCTGGTGGGTGCAGCTGTTGTTCCTGGAAATAGGGAAGACATTGCAATTTCCCTGGAAATTGCACCAGGGAAGCTTTAGACTGGATATTAGGAAAGAATTCTTCACTGAAAGGGCTGTCCAGCCCTGACACAGGCTGTTCAGGGCAATGGTGGAGTCACCATCCTTGGAGGGATCTAGAAGCCATGTGGATGTGGCACTTGGGGACATGGTTTAGTGGTGGCCTTGGCAGTGCTGAGGGAGTGGTTGGACTCAATGATTTCAGAGGTTCTTCCCAGCCTTATTCTATGATTCTGTGGTTCTATGATTCCATGAAAAAGGAGCATAAGGGATGCTCTATGCCCAAGTCTCCTTCCAACAGGAACTTTGGACATAATCCAGGCACGTACCTTGAACAGGTGCAAGACCTGGCAATACTCCTCAGTCTTTCATAACCAAAACCTCCAAGCAGAACTTGGTATCAGAGCAAAAACTGATGGACAGGGAGCTAAGGTTGAGCTCATGCCAAAATGACTAACAAGCTCTGTGGATGTATGAATTCGAGGAGAAGCAGCAAATCACATTGCTCCTGCAACTGGTACTTGTGCAACTTCTTACTGGAATACTGTGTCTGCTTCTTATGGAAGTGCTCCAAAAAGGATGTTGACTAATTAGAAAAAGTTTAAGGAAGAGCCATATGAATCATTAAAGCTTCAGAAAACACGTCTTTTAGCAAGAGACTCCAAGATTGAGATATATTCAGTTTCTTAGAGAGAAGATGAAGGGACAGTTTTAACTCAGCCTGTAAACAGCTAGAAGGACAACAGAGAATTTGTAATGTGTTTTTCAGTCAGCAGACAAGTGTACAAGAATCCCTGGCTGGAAGTCATGGACAAACCCATCCAGACCAAAAAAATCTGAATTAACCAGTAGAGACAGTGATATCAATTTCTGATCAACTGTTCTAGTGGGCAGAAAAACAACTTCAGAAAAATCTTGTTCTGTTTGAGAGAGGTTTTGTCTATTTAAAATAGTGATCCTCCCTGGAAATGTGGCTCAATCTCCAAATCTTTAAGCTCCAAACATGAAATGGTCAAATTTAATGACTTACAAATAAATACACCTTAGCAATTTGTTCAACTAACTTGGTAAAAATGATTCCATTAGCCATTCCCCCTGTTTCTTTGGCCAGTTTTCCTCTGTTCACCTCCAGGCTCGGTCTTCCCAGAGACAGGATAGAAGATGAAAAGGCAGAAAACCTCAAGGAAGCTCTGGAAAAGTACATCCACATCAAATGGATAGTGCAGACCCTTGGCTTCATGGACAGACTTGACTTCACTATGTTAACCCAAAGGAAACACCATAGTGATGCAAGAGGAACCTTCACTTCTCTGGTGGGTGAAGCTGCACTTCTTTGAGTAAAGGACACAGCAACCAACTGCATCCAAAAACAGAGGAGGCCCCATAGGAACGAGATCATTATCCAGGAAGGCAAAACAAGCTATGGTGGTGGTAACCCCTTTTGAGACACCACACAGCAGTGACCAGACATGTACTGACCTCAGACATCTGCGGGAAAAGACTGATGGCCAAGGGGAGGGCCAGGCCGAAGGCAGCGAGGCACACAAGGCTTTGGACTGGGAGAATCATCCGGGGACGGGACCTCAGGAGTGATGTTCTGGAAAGGAAAGGCTTTGTTAGACCATTTCATTGGACCATTTACAAGGGAAATTCAGAGTATATATCAGAAAAGATTCTTTTCACTGTTATAGTGGCCTAGCACTGGAATAGGTTGCCCAGGTAGATGGTGGAGTCACCATCCCTGGAAGAGTTTAAGAGGCATCTGGATCTGGTGCTGGAAGACATGGTTTAAGGGCTCCAGCAGAGTGACACGTTAATGGTTGGACTTGATTATCTTGGAGGTCTCCTCCAACCTTGATGATTCTATGATTTTATAGATGAGATGAGGGCATGACATCATCAGAACAGACACTGGTGCTCACCTAGACCTGCTGGTCTCCCTCTCCCTAACTGGTTTAGGTTCTTTCATAGAATCATGGAATGGTTTGGGTTGGAAGGGACCTTAAAGACCATCTGGTTCCAACCCCCTGCCATAGGCAGGGACATTTTCCACTAGACCATGTTGCTCAAAGCCTCATCCAAGCCTTGAGCATTTCCAGGGATGGGAAATGGGCCTAGTAGGCCATCAACATGTCCACCTGCATATGCTTCCCCCATTTCAAACCACCTCACAGTGGAGGCAGATGAGGTGACCTGACTGCACTCAGGTTTCACCTGCATTATGGCTTTGGAGATGATGTTGAATGTGCAAAAGGAAATTAGGCCCCTGAATGATGTTGTGAAATCTGTCAGCCTTGTCAGCAGCACTACTGAAAAAGGCACACGACTTTGTTAATGGGGTAATAAAGTGGTAAACTTGACAATACCTTTATTTGCTAAAAATCAAACATCTGCAGTGTGGGTGATAAGGATGTTTTAGCACTTGCTATTCCCAGGGGATATTTCCAGTTCAAGACTTGTTAGCAGCAAACAGTTGAAGATACCTGCCAGGTCAGATTCTGATAATGACTTATAAGCGACCCTTCTGATGCAATTAACACCGAAACACAGGGACAACATGTAGCTGATAGAAGGTGGAGTGTTGAATATATTCCAGGACACAGGACCTCAGGCAGTTTATGAATGCTAAGGGGAAAAATGTAATTCTTGAGGGGTTTACCCTGGAAGACACCCGAGGACACCAAGAGGACACTTGTCACTCAACCTTTTTTCTATCAATCTGAAAAGAATGGGAATATAAACCAACAACTTGGCAGTGAGTTTTGTTTGAATATTCAGTATATATGAGCAATGTAGAGAGTGAGCAGATTTCTTGCTGGGTCATTTAGGACCCAAGGGAATGGCATAAAGCTGTGTCAGGGGAGGTTTAGGTTGGATATTAGGAAAAGGTTCTTCCCCCAGAGAGTGGCTGGGCACTGAAACAGCAACTCAGGGCAGTGGTCATGGCCCCAAGTCTGATAGAGCTCAAGAAGTGTTTGGTCTTCACCCTCAGGCTCATGATGAGATTCTTGGAGCTGTGCTGTGCAGAGCCAGGAGTTGAACTTGATGGGTTCCTTCCACCTCACGATATTCCATGATTCTGTGATCTGTTAGTTAATGACCTTCTGCTGGGGTGTCAGCACAGGAGGTCTTCAGTCAAGGAAGTACAACCAGAATACATCAAGTTCTAATCGCTGTGGTTACCACCACTGGTGTTAAAAAGCATTCCCAATGCAATGTGCACCATTCCCAAGGTGCCCACCAAGGTGCCAAGCAACCCTTCCCACCTCATGGCATGCTGCTTCCCTGCTTTGGCACGGGCGCGACAGATTTTGCAGCCTCATCTACCCGTGCAGCCTGTACCTGCAGCCAATGCAAGCTCACAGATTACCTCAGGCCCCGTCTGCTCCACGCTCAGTGCAGGCTACAAACGTGCACCTGATGAGTTCTGACAGAGCAGCTGATGTGTGGGAACTCGTTACCCTGCTGTACGTTGTCTGTGTGTCTGAACATTCAGACTCTTCGCCCTTTGCTAGTGCTGCTTGCTGAAAACTGTCTTCAGCTCGAGAAGGTTTGGGGGAAGTGGGGAAGGAAAACACAATCCAGAGCTTTAACTCCTCCAATATCTCAGCTCCTCACTAATAAGCTATCGAGACGGAGTTGATCCTATCAATTTGTGCTGTGAAAGACAAGCTTCTGTTCTCCAATATTTAGCTACTTTGTGTTGCACAGAGCACGATCTAACCTAAATTCTCTTGTAGAAGCCCACAAGGATTTTGTCCAAGTCAGGAAATCAAGTTACTTTGCTCCACCCTCTTTAACAAATGCAACCTTCAAGAATTGCCATCGATAAGCTGTGATTATCCCTGGGATGCACAGGGGCAGCTCCTGGAACTGATTTACTCTCCTGTTCAAGCTGTCGTGATTCATGAGAGCCCTTGCTGAGACAATCATAGGACCAGCATCCCTCAAGCCTCCCTGGAGTACAGTTTAGAACCAAGACATCACCGCTTATACCATCCCTGACATCTTAATTTGGATGCTGCCCCCTCTTTAATTACTGCCCTGTTGGGGACCTTATAATCACCCAAGTAAAAACTCAACCAATTTAAAATGATCCCTGGTCCAGCCCCCAGGTGTGACTTCCAGGGGTGCTTCAAACTCAGGCCAGTTCAAATTATAAGGGCCAACCTCTTAATTAAGAAGAGTTATGCCTTGATTTAAAAAGGAGAGCAGACTAATTAACACATGTAGTGTAATGTCTTAATTGGGATTCAGATTCTAAAATTTGTGTGGTTCAGAATAAATGACTCATAATTAGGCAAAAGGTCCACTTTGCTTCTGTCCCTGGGATCTTTGCTCCTGGCACAGGTCTCAGATGAACATGAAGTTAAATATTGCATTTTGTTAGCTGTCAACTGCAATCCAAACCCCTCTTTTCACCCATTAACCCCCCATAGGAAGGGAATGATTGGATGGTTCCAAAGGGTTTAATTGCAGAGGATTAGAGCAGATTAAAAAGAAATAAAATTAATATCCATTTGTTGAAGGGAGAATTAGTTTAGAACACTGCCCTGTGTGCCCTGCCAAAGGGTTTGAGCAGGGAAGTGGAGGTCTGGACCTTCAGGTCACCCTGACAGCCCAACTTCGGCATCTTCTGAAGGCTAAAGTATCCCAGGATGAGTAAGGAAGGAAGGGACCACTGGAGGTCATCAAGGAGGGTCCCCTGAGCATGTTACTCAAGATTGTGTCCAGGTGGCTTCTGAGTATCTCCAGAGACACTAAAAATTGAATTACTGACCATCTCCAGAGATATTCAAGAAGCAGAAGATATTCTGATATATTCTCAAGAACAAATATCCTCTTATCCCACCAGTAATTCAGCAGAAGCATTGAAGTTATTTTCATATCAGAACACAAGCTTTACAGACTGTAACCACGTGCACTGGACAAGACTAGCCAGGTCCTGGTGAGCTACACCTTGGTGCTCAGAATAGACAGCACGGGATTGAAAAGTTTGCACCAAGGGAAGGTATCACATTGGGAAGCTCCAGGAAGACAACAGAATCAGAGAATAAGATAATGGTTTGGGTGGGAAGCGACATACAGCTTATCTAGTTCCACCCCCTGACATAGGCAGGGGGACATCTTCCACCAGACCAGGTTGCTCCAAGCCCCATTCAACCTAGCCTGGAACACTCCCAGAGATGGAGCAGCCACAGCTGCTCTGGGCAACCTGTGCCAGTGTCTCACCACCCTCACAGGGAACAATTCCTTCCCAATACCCGATCTAACCCTGCCCTCTGGCAGTGGGAAGCCATTGCCTCCTGTCCTGTCACTCCAGACACTTGTCTACAGTCCCTCTGCAGCTCTCTTGCAATCCCCTGTTAATATGTATGTTTTATAGCCCCCAATAAGAAGCCAAATTTTTGGCACCAATGGTCTATCTCATTAGCATGGCTGATCCATGTTTATACATCAACTTTTGGATGGCAAAGAACACACATTTTTGCTATATTTCCATCCTCCTCTCTCTTTTTTCTTAAAGATTCCTTTCTTTACCCCCTTCAACCCCTCTTCTTTCTGCAATTTGCCCTTATAAATTTTGCCTGGGAGGTATTAAAAAGGCAGCAACAAGCTGGGGAGCTCCTGGGTTACTGCTAAGGGATATACCTCCACCAGCTAGACCTCAGGGATAACATTTCAGTATGCCTGAGCGTCCGTAGGTACATACACACACACACACACACACACACACATACTTGTACAGACAGTACATCTGCTCCGCAGAGACAGTGTGTTGTAGATCGTGTAAATACACCTTCATTCAACTTTCATCACATTGTTCATTAGTGGTTTAAATTTTGCATAATTTGGCAGCTGCCTCTGGCGTTTTTCAGGAGGTACTGTAATTTATTCCATATGGAAGTCAGTTGCTGTACTAAAAAGGAGTTATCAGGTTCAGTGAACCAGAGCTGTATTTGTCTAGAAGGAGGTGTCAGATGCTAAACTAAATATGACAGGAGTTAACCAAAGTCTCCCAGCTGACAGATTCTGTGGGATTTCTGGAGTGTTTTGCTATAAACAGGTTCAAAGCTAATACAGACATTGCAAGACGCTGAGGATGCCGCGGGGTACGGAAAAAGCTGGAGGCTGAACCTCAGGGTATCCCAAGGTACCCCAAGACATCCCAGGCTCTTCAAACCCCCCCTCTGATTTGCCAACAAAGTTTGGGATGGTTGTCCTACCAGACAACCTAGACCAGATCCCAGTTCTGCTGAGACCCTCCCAGAGCCGCCACAGAGAGCCCATCAAGTCTCTCTGCTCTCTTCAGAGGGTGTTTCTGCACTTTCCTCACTCATTTTGGGAAATCAGAGTTCTATTGACCAGCAGCTCTGCTGTCCTATCCAGCCAGGCCATGCTGTCCTCACCACAGAGTATCTATCTCCTGCTGTTGGCTCCAGTCCCAGTGCCCCTCCAGAGGACACAGCAGATGCCAAGCAAGTGAGGTTGGGGGATTTTTGTGTTTGATTGACATCATTAAAGGAGCAGTTTCAATGTTTACTCTGGAAACAGCCACAGCAGTTTAAGGTGTCACTGCTGGCAGCTGTTGAGTTG